TATATATATGTATGTTAAATAATAATAATAATAATTAAATATAATATATATATTATTAAATCGATTTACGGTACAATTCTCAAACATTCAACACTCTTATTAAGGGATTGCCCTACAAAAATTCACTAAATCAAATTTAAAAATATAAAAAAAACTCTTTTTTGAGTACAATTTAAACGGCCATTTAAAACATTAAATCCAGTGGGACCCATGTGAAGTTGCTTAGCTAGAAGCATTTGTATGGTAATATCCTCCGTCCACATGTATAGTTCTCCACCGTTCGATCACGATTATTCTAGTTTTTGTAAAGAACAAATCAAACTTCTAAAAACGGCGAAACAAAAAACCCTAACCTAACCATAATTAAATCCCTAAACTTGTAAGCCTTTCGTTTTTCCATTCCTATAAATTCCGCATCCGCCCAGGGCTATGCTTGCGCAACTGAAGGCCTGAGGGCCCTTCAGTCAAAAACAACACTCATACACCTTGTGTCCCTCTCGGGTACAACCAATAGAAATGGCGACATCTTCTAGAAAGTCAAAGGGATCGGTGTTGCCGTTAGCGTCGATGTTCCACTGTTCCATTTTGCCGTCCGGCAGGTTTGCGTCGTCAACAACTGCCGGATTTTATTCGTCTCCTTCTTCTAGTTACATTCACCGTCGTCCTACTTCGTCGACGCGAGTGAACCTTCATGGTCTCACCTCGATGACTTCATCATCGGTGAGTTTCTCGATAGAGAATAGATCTGGTTCTGCGATCAGGTCGATGGTGGTGTCTCCTCGAGATCAAGTTGTACGGGAGCAGAACGGAAGGACTTTACCTAAGAAGATGTGTATGTGTTCGCAGACGATGCATCCAGGATCGTTCAGGTGTAGTTTACGTAAGACCTACAACAATAGTCACTCGATGACGTCATATTCTCCAAACAGATTGAATGCTCGAAGGTCTGCGATGACGAACTCGCTGGTGCGAATCGCTACCGTCGAAGGAGGTGATCTGGTGAAGAGAGCTCTCGCGGCCTTGATCCGACCTTCATCGCACCAGCAGAGGCAGAGGTCGGCTTTTCAACCGAGACCTAGCCGTTTGTCGATCTTGTCCAATGCTGACGACTCATGACTTTTTTGCTTCAAGAATCTCCGGTTGCTCGGTTATGCATTTGGTGTTTTTTACATCCATCACTTTCAGTTTTAGATCTCGCGGTTCCTGGATTCCGGCGAAGACTGCTGCTTTTGAAATTCGACGACATTAAAACCTATCCTCGCAATTTTGACAGGGATGAAGTTTATCAGCTATCTAAGCGAAAACGAAGTGTCCTTTGTACACAAATCATAGTAAATGTTTGCAAAATTGATCGAAGGACATTTTGGGACAAATTTCTAATTTCATTGAACAACTTTAGAATCGGAATTAATTCAGTAACAAAATTCGAAACAACTTCGATCACACTGTTGCGTTGTCGAAATATTTGATTGATTGATTTGTTTCTTTCCTTTTTTTCGAAGCATTAGATTCAATAGTATCTACGTTCACGTTTCGTAACAGTCTTTAGATCGCTTGTTATGTGTGGCACCATGCCTCAGACTCCTTGGAATTTCTTGTCACTTGCAGTGCCAGTTTCGTTATACGTTCTTTCGTGGAAGGTAATTAATTTACATAGTTTATAGATATTATTTAATTTAGATGTTGGCATAATTGTTTTTGGATAACAGGAGATTGAGCTGTGTGGTTATCGCCTCACAGATGTCCCTAGAAAGGAAGAAAGAAAAGAGAGTGAAAGAAGAACGATAGGGACTGAATAGCAAAGACGCACACAAGAATTTTAAACAAATTCAAAGGAAAGAGAGGGAAACACTTTTTTCTATATTTTATCGATATAATTCCAATAGACGATTTTTTTTTCTATATTTTATCGATATAATTCCAATAGACGATTTTTTTCTATATTTTATCGGTATATCCTCTAAAGGATATAACTACAGGAATAGAGATACATATATTATAGATATATTAGAATCAATAGCTTTTGTAGTTATCTACTTGTAACTTAATACTTTATTGATTATGTTTAATGAGATTTATAGGTTTCATTCTCTCTATTTTACCTTTGTTCTATTTGTTTTTCTCTTAACACGTTATCAGCATGTAAAGCTTAAAACTATTTTTTGCCATCGCTAAACGGTTGCCGCAGCCACTATTGAACGACTTGTTGCAAAATTACATCGCTACTTCGTTATCCCTTGCTCGTTGCAATGTCCATAAAAAAAATCTTGTAAGTTTTCTATCAACTTCTTTGTAAGCGAATATTATAAAGGGAAAAGTTTAAAAAATAAGTCATTGGATATTTCAAAACCTGTTAAATAACTCAGTGAATTTTCTGAAACCTGTTAGATTATCCTTATGACCTATAAAACTGATTAATGTAATGAAATAATGAAAAAAGTTTGAAAAAAACCAATGGACTTTCGTATTTTTGAATAATTAAGCCCTTAAATATTTTTTGAACCAAAAAATTACTTACATCTATAAAATAATATAAATATATCAAAAAATTACTTACATTTAAAAAAGATTATTGATAGAATTTATTTTAATTAAAAATAAAATATATTCCATTGGTGATTTTTCAAATTAAAAAAATAGAAAAAGATTTTAAAAAGTATTACTAATTATATTTTTTAATTAAAAATAAAATATATTCCATTGGTATTTTTTCAAATTAAAAAAAAAAATTGATTAAATTATTGATGGATTAACGATAAAATTTAACTAAATACATAATTAATTAAATTCCTCGTTAGTGTTCATTGGTATATATGCATTGATTACTTATATCTAATAGATGACTAACTTGACCATAGTCAGACGCTTTAACACAGTAACATGTTAATAAATGTGAAAAATCGTGGTTAATCTTGTTGATGATATCATTTCATCGACGGATTAGCAACGAATTTTAATTAATTATGTATTTAGTTAAATTTTATCGTTAATCCGTCAGTAATTTAATCAAATTATATCTATTTTTTAGTTTATAAAATAATCAATGCAATATATTTTATTTTTAATTAAAATAAATTTCATCGGTAATCCTTTTTAAAATCTTTTTTTTTTATCATTTTTAATTTGAAAAATCACATATGAAATATACTTTATTTTTTATTAAAATAAATTTAGCAGTAATTCTTTTTAAATCCTTTTTTATTTATTTTAATTTAAAAAATCACTCACGAACTATATTTTATTTTTAATTAAAATAAATTTCATCAATAATCTTTTTGTAAATGTAAGTAGTTTTTTGGTATATTTGTTTCATTTTATAGATGTAAGTACTTTTTTGTTCAAAAAATGTTTAGAGATTTAATCGTTTAAAATATGAAAGTCTATTGGCTCTTTTTTCAGTCTTTTTCCATTATTTTACCACAATAACCAGTTGTATATGTTAATTAATTCTCTGAGTAATTTGATATATATATTTTTTATCTTACAAAAATTACTTTCTCTTTATTCAGTTTCAACGATCATCATTGAGTTTGTTCAGTAATCGCTGAACAAATATTGTATCTCTTAAAGACAAGTACTTTTTAAGAACACAAAACTCACACCACAAGAACCTTCAGTGATATTGAAGATAAAACTGAAGACAGAGACAAACAGTTCGTGATCTGATGCGGTTTAAGTGACAACAAGTCTGTCTACAAATATGTGAAATCTACTCAAGATTCAACATACACTGAAGAAACCCTAGTGCTATTTTAGTGTCAACGATCAAATGAATCTTGTTGACCAAGATTAGTTTTTGTCTTATCCTCCTACACACAAAGGACAAACTTATATCTCTCAAAATAAAGCACTCGTACGGAATCGCTATATTGTTTCCAAGTATACTTAATTACTTTGTGAAAGACTATTCATATACAACAAAACATGTATATCTGAAGACAAATGACAAGCTCATCTCTAGAAGATTGTCACGTGCCTTATACTGTCTGACTTGCTTTAATGTAATGGGTATCATTAGCTTAGAAACTCCTCCTTCTGAGTATCACTAAGCCAAGAAGCGTATATTTTGAAGATCAACTTTCTACCCAAGAAAGGACATCCTCACAAGCACAGACTTCTTAATCTTTCAAAGTTATCTTTACTTCAAGTGAAGAACACCAACTAGGCTCTTCCTTTAGCAAAGTTATTATTTCTTCATTTAGCAAGTCTTTTCTTTCTTTCTTGCTTTCTATATCTTGTGTGTTCCCTAGATTGTTTTACATAAGTTATGTCTCTTATCTTATTCCGCAAACAGTTTGTAAATTCTGTATTGATCTTCTTTATCAATAAAGGATTTAAAAAAAATGAAAACTATTGTGTTTGTATTCATTCCCCCCATCTACAAACTGTTACCTCTAAACTCTTGTAGGTCCGTCTGGGACCAACAAGTGGTATCAGAGAGGGTGTTTTATTATCTCTTATTTCTTTAAGATAATTTATTTACCATTCAAATGGTATTGCAAAACACAAACACAAACTTTCACGACAATGGCTCTCTAGCCAAACCTCCCCGGTTCATCAGAGACAACTTCAGTCTTTGGAAGAATCGGATGTCTTTTTTCTTGGAAAATATGGATCTTGAAATTCGATACTATATTAAAAATGGACCTTATGTTCCATTTGCAATATCTTCAGCAGTTCCTGCAACTACTACGACTGCCGCCATTCCTGAAAGGCAGATTCCGGAACTCCCTCATCAATGGAGTGCGAAGACAAGAAGAAAATAGCTTTAGATACTAGAGCTAGATCTATAATAGCCATATCTCTTCCTGACAAGGTTTATCACTGTTTTATGAAGTTAAGAACCTCGAAATCCATGAGGGGCACTCTTTGTGTTCAATATGAAGATACATCTTAAATATAAGAATCGAGAAAGATTAATTTAGTAAGACAATCTCTGTGGAAAATCTGAATATTTTTCTGAAGTACATCAATATTTTAATTATCTTCTTATCTATAAGTACATCAATGTTTTTGTTGATCCTCTCTCTCAGTGATTCGATGATAATCCTTTTTCCTTTATGCGAAGTTTTTTTTTGTTTCTGTTATCTCAGTTCTAGCGATCTTCACTGAGTCTGTTCAGTAATCGCTGAAGAACTTGTATTGTAAATCCAATCAGTGACAACGATACTTCAAGAAGACAACACTCACACCAACAAACCTTCAGCTAAAGTCGAGGAATGAAACTGAAGATTAGAGACTGGCGAGTACGTGATCTGAAGCGGTATTCAATGATTATAAGCCTGCCTACATATATGTGAAGACTGCCCAAGCCTCAGCGAATGAAGAGACCTTCAGGTTATTCCAACATTCAGCGATCAAAAGAAGCTTACTAAGCACGATTGTATTTGTCTTTTCCTTATACACACAAAGGACAAACCCATACCATTTCTAAAAGTTAGTACAGTACGGAGCCGACTAGTTGACTCTATTGCCCACCAACTTTGTGAAAGGATGTCTGTTCATGAATAGGCTTTTGTACTATTCACTGTAGCAAAAGACAAGCCTTCCTCTTAAGGCTTGACACGCGTTCTAACCCTACCATGATGCATTATATGTGTATTTAATGCAACGGGTATAAATAAATGTGTTCTATCTTCATGCAGATACACACAAATTCTTACTTTGAGCTTTCTGGCGCTTAAGTAAAAGAACACACATTAAGAACAAATACGCTTATCTTCAAGAGCAAGTTAGAATCCCTTTATTATATTCTAAACAAGTTGTGAAGTTCAGAAATCATACAAACATGATATGATCTTCAAGAATCAATATGAACATAAAAGTAGAGAGAATATAATCAAAGATTGATTTAATTGAGAGAGAGAAATTTACAACTCTAATCTTGATTACAAATCTGCTAATGACTTCGTAATGACAATTACAAAGGAAAATACTATTTATACTAGGAAATAGAAAAACTACACTATTACATAATAAAGCTATTCTAAGGAGAAACTTGAATACAACTTTAACGCTCTAACTTGAACCCAACATTCTCCTCCTTTGGATTCAAGTTTGGACTCTTGTGAATTTCGTTTTCCGCAGTCCAAGTATCTTTTCCAATCATCTTAGAGCATTCCTATATTAAATCTTCTCCTCGAGCAAGTTTATCGCATTGATCAGCAAGTATCTTTCCTTGGAACTCATCCGTTCAGATTCAACAGCTTTAGCGTTCATCACCCTCTTCAAGTCAAGTGCCCTTCTCACTAATTTGATCGTACCGTCATAATACTTATTCAACTCACTAAACCTCATGAACTTCTTTACTTGTAGTTGAGCAAAATAGACGACCCCGAACTCTGGGCTTTCAAGAACCATATACACTGGATAGCCTCCAATGTCTTCTAGGTCTTGATTTGGTCTTTTAAGATTGATGATTCGCTGATTGTCTTCAAGGCCCA